TCCCTTCTCCTGCATTCTCCTCTCAGGATCCTGGGCACTTACACACATGTGCCTGACATGAGTTTAAGCCACCATGTCCGGGACGCGAACCGCAGTCGACTACATGGGAGTCCAGTAACGTAGCTAGCCATTGTGTCATCTCCTGGTCCGCTAGTTCTCTCTTGAGACCTCAACCTCACAACTTAATTTAACCTCAAGATCTCCCAAAGACCTCCACCTCCAAATTGGGGTTAGGGCTTCAACAGAGGAATGCTGGCAGGGCACGTACAGTTGACAACACTGCTTGCTACTCATTTTTAAAACTCGTTCCCTACCAGCAGTTAGCGTAATGGCTATGTCGCTGGACTCCCACGTAGTGGACCGCGGTTCGTGTCCCAGACCCGGTGGCTTACAACTCACGCCGGGTGCGTGTGCGTGCGTGCCCAAGATCCCGAGAGGAGAATGGAGGAGAAGGGATTGCGGTGTGACCATCCCCCCTGGGGGGTGATTTCTCGCTTTCTGTCTCTCTGTCTCTCTCTGTCTGTCTGGCGAACGCACGCGCCCTACAGTGAAAATCTCTCCAAAAAAAAAAAAAAACTCGTTCCCTACAGAGCATATAATGGCAATGAGCGTATATGTAGCCCACCAATGTTAGGTTTATTTTTAAAGAGTTATCATACATTTAAAACAAATAAAACATTTTAATCTTTCTTCTTTTCATGTAAATTGCAGGGGTGAGAGTGTAATCTTTCCCCAAATTATCTTCCTGAAAGCTGATCTGGTCATCCAGTTCTGCGATGAATAACTTGAATTTAAGATCTGTGTCTTCATCTCATCAGTTTTTTTTTTTTTTCCCTCTATTGCTCTTAATTTACAAACCCTTAACTTCAATGGCAAAAGGTATTTGATAGTTCTATAAGAGCTGCTGACATTCAGGTGCCACAAACCCAGGAATTAAGCAAAATCTTTTTGTTGAACATTTCTGTCAGACTCTAACCTGAAAAACATATCCTGTTTCTAAGTTGAGAACTTGACACTTGAACTCGAGAGTTAAAGGTAAATGGTTTCCTAATCCAAGCTGGCTGCATCTAGGGGAGAAGATATTTCTCCCTACTCTGTGGTAGTATTTGTTGATGGCTTTAACATGTCTTCCGTAATACATCGTTTTTATTTCTCCAAAATGATACAACGAGCAAGAGTTGGAGAAGCTTGTCAGTCACATCTGCATCCCGGTTTGGTCTCAGTTTTACCTTAAAATCCTATCTTAGTGCTGATGATAAAATAAGAGTGTTCTCAAACTTTTCATAACCACAGAGCCCTTTAGGAGTGGTTTATAGAAAGAAAACCCACCAATTTCAGGATCATTTAAAAATGCACCCCTAGGATAATCCATCCTGGCGGGGCGGGGACATTTTGAATTGTTGACGTGGTCTTTCACTTCGCATCTCTTCGCAGCCATTCTCTACCCTCCAAGCTTGTGGGTTTGGGTCGCTAGAAAGTGGAGTCTATTCCCCAACACCTCGCACTAGGCTGGCTTTGGACCTGTTTGGCCAGTGGAATGTGGTGGAATGTGGGTTCCGAACTGAGGATCGTGAGGACTGCAGAGGTCTGGAGGTCTGGAGGTCCCTGCCTCATCTCCTGCCCTTTCATGGCCAGCGTAGTCTGCCTGAGGATGACGGTCACTTGGGCTGAGCCACGTTGCCTGGGTAGCCCTTGATCCTCAGCCAGCCCCATGAATGTGAGCTCAACCTAATTTTTTGTTTTTTAAAGAATTATCTTATTTAACTTTATTTATTTTGACCAGAGAGGAACAGAGAGAGAAAGTGAGAAAGCAAGCTGCCAATTCTGGGACTCAACCCGCGGTCAGCCATGTGGAAGTCCAGCGCCCTTAACATGTAGCCCACCAATGTTAGGTTTATTTTTAAAGAGTTATCATACATTTAAAACAAATAAAACATTTTAATCTTTCTTCTTTTCATGTAAATTGCAGGGGTGAGAGTGTAATCTTTCCCCAAATTATCTTCCTGAAAGCTGATCTGGTCATCCAGTTCTGCGATGAATAACTTGAATTTAAGATCTGTGTCTTCATCTCATCAGTTTTTTTTTTTTTTCCCTCTATTGCTCTTAATTTACAAACCCTTAACTTCAATGGCAAAAGGTATTTGATAGTTCTATAAGAGCTGCTGACATTCAGGTGCCACAAACCCAGGAATTAAGCAAAATCTTTTTGTTGAACATTTCTGTCAGACTCTAACCTGAAAAACATATCCTGTTTCTAAGTTGAGAACTTGACACTTGAACTCGAGAGTTAAAGGTAAATGGTTTCCTAATCCAAGCTGGCTGCATCTAGGGGAGAAGATATTTCTCCCTACTCTGTGGTAGTATTTGTTGATGGCTTTAACATGTCTTCCGTAATACATCGTTTTTATTTCTCCAAAATGATACAACGAGCAAGAGTTGGAGAAGCTTGTCAGTCACATCTGCATCCCGGTTTGGTCTCAGTTTTACCTTAAAATCCTATCTTAGTGCTGATGATAAAATAAGAGTGTTCTCAAACTTTTCATAACCACAGAGCCCTTTAGGAGTGGTTTATAGAAAGAAAACCCACCAATTTCAGGATCATTTAAAAATGCACCCCTAGGATAATCCATCCTGGCGGGGCGGGGACATTTTGAATTGTTGACGTGGTCTTTCACTTCGCATCTCTTCGCAGCCATTCTCTACCCTCCAAGCTTGTGGGTTTGGGTCGCTAGAAAGTGGAGTCTATTCCCCAACACCTCGCACTAGGCTGGCTTTGGACCTGTTTGGCCAGTGGAATGTGGTGGAATGTGGGTTCCGAACTGAGGATCGTGAGGACTGCAGAGGTCTGGAGGTCTGGAGGTCCCTGCCTCATCTCCTGCCCTTTCATGGCCAGCGTAGTCTGCCTGAGGATGACGGTCACTTGGGCTGAGCCACGTTGCCTGGGTAGCCCTTGATCCTCAGCCAGCCCCATGAATGTGAGCTCAACCTAATTTTTTGTTTTTTAAAGAATTATCTTATTTAACTTTATTTATTTTGACCAGAGAGGAACAGAGAGAGAAAGTGAGAAAGCAAGCTGCCAATTCTGGGACTCAACCCGCGGTCAGCCATGTGGAAGTCCAGCGCCCTTAACCACCATGCCACCTGCTGGCCCCAAGCTCAGCCAGATTTAACAGTGCCGCCTAACTAATCCCCCAGGGATCCGTGGCACAAGCCACACGTGGGTTGGTACTTGCACAAAGATTTGTGATTCCTTGATGTTTGGAATAACTGTGGCTATAGACAAGCAATACCATAGCCAATGGTTCAGTGTGGAGAACAAAGTGAGTGTGTGTTCATTGCCTTTTCACACATTCCATGACAAAGACATTCGGTGGCTGCGAGTTGACTGTATTTACACTTTTTCATTATTTCCTTCATTACGTAATTAAGTTTTAGGGGCTGCAGATGCCACAGTGGTTGCATTGCTGAACTCCGACATGGCTGACTCTGGTTCAAGTCCTGGACCTGGTGGCTTGAAAATCACGCTAGGTGTGTGTGCATGTATGCATGTATGCCCAAGATTCTGGGAGGAGACTGGAGAAGAGATTGCAGTACGGCCTCCCTGCTGGGGGATGATTTCTCACTTTCTCTTTCATTGTCTATCTCTCGTGAGCACACACGTCAGGCAAAAACCTCAAAAAATTGTTTTTGAGGCTTGTGTTAGGCCACCCCCTTTTCTTTAAGAGTGGAGCTGACTGTGGATTGATGCTGAAGGACAATTATTTCTCTCTTTCATTCTTGCTGCACCTCCACAGCTAACATCCCATCGATATTCAGACTAAGTCACCCTTTTCATTTATATCACAAAAATAATGAACAAAGACATCTCGTATGAGCTTTTGCTGCTCATTAGAACAAAGTCATGAGAGATCTCTCCCTAATCCATGAGTTACACGTATTCTACACGTGTGCACTGCACTTCAGTGGGTGTGTAACTGCAGGGTGAGAGATCTACTCACGCGCATTTCATTTACAGGGGTGACGGACGTGTCTGGGGCAGGTACCCTGTGTCAGGCGTTGTCCTAAGTGCTTGATTGACCTAATCCTCTCAGCAGCTCTAAACTGGGTGTCATTACTGATATTATTCCTATTTACACCTGAGGAAACTGAGGCACAGAGAAGTGAAGCACCTCGCCTAGGGCCTCATCGTAACCAGTGCGAGATGGACACAGGAGGACCCCGGTGTGGGCGTCCGGGTTCCCAGTCACTGCGTGTGGTAGAGTCGCTGCTCCCCACGCTGCCGGCGTCCTGATGTGCCACCCACAGAGCCATTTGACATCGGAGCGTCTCCAGCAGCTTGCTCTGTCCTGCCAAACCTGGTATCGATCACGCATAGAGAGCTGGCTTCATAAGCTTATTGGCAGTGGTGTGATTTGTTCTGCTATGGAGAGCGACACTTGAATGACATCTCTGCACTTGTGGTCGCGCCTGCACCTGAGCAGCGCCATCTGCAGATTCCTTACTATAAAGCATAATTATGCACTCGACTTAGAAACATGCTGCCGGCTTATTAGGAGGGTTGTCATGCTGTGTTTAAAAATAAGGGAGGGATTGGGTTACGTGACCCTACACAGGAAAGTGTCATAACAGATAACGTACCGGAGACGAGGGGGGGGTGGCTAATCTAAAAACTCCATTTTTCTTATCCTTAGAGTCACGTGCCCTAGGCCACAGAAATGCATATTTTATGTTCATACTTGAGTTCTGGTGATCATTTACATTCAAGACATTATCCTGAGGAGTGTGTGTCTACTTAGTTATTTCTTCCATGAGTGAAAAGTGAGAGAACTTGTACCCCCAACAGAGTCTCAGTGCTGCGATCCACCCCCCAGAATTCCGCCAGGCCTGGATCCTGGGCCACGCATGCCCACCATACTAGAGAGATCTCCAGATGCAGCCAGCAGTCTTTCCAGGAAGGGTTCCCTCACAGAGTAGCGTGGGTTTGTTTTTGTTTTTGTTTTTTCAATATGGAACGCTTCATGAATTTGCATGTTATCCTTGCACAGGGGCTATGCTAATCTCCTCTGTGTCGTTCCAGTTTTAGTGTCTGTGCTGCCGGAGCGCGCACAGAGCATGGCGTTTTACCACCGTGTCATCGTCTGGGCTCTGAGTTGTGGAATTTTACTACTTCTTTGCACTTCAGTGTACCATTTTGTGAAGGAGAGGGAGAGGGAATTGGGAATGAAGTGATGCATAATCGAGAGGAGCCAAGGGTCATAGTTTATGGACTCAAGCCAGATTGCCTGGGTCAAATCCCAGACCCAACCCACGACTCATTTTCTCATCTCTAAACTGGGGGTAAAATAATGATCGTATCTACCTTCTAACTCGCACCATCATTCTGAAGATGACATGCATTCACTTGACACAGTATCTGGCATGTATTCAGTGCTTTGTAAATATCTGCTGTCTAACAAATAAAAGTGTATATATACTCCAAATGAAAAATACAAATTTAACGATGAGAAATAATGACATGCAGATATAATGAAGAACTGTACCCTGTGACCAAAAGTTAGCCATGACAACTGACCACATGGAATCCTAATAGTGCATCTGAGACTTCTAAGAATATCTATCTGTCTTCCTGGCGAGCACACGCAGCCTATAGCAAAAAAAACTCTCAAAGAAAGAATCCTTTAGGGACCAGCAGTTGGTGTAATGGCTATGTCACTGGACTCCCACATAGTCGACCGCAGTTCGAGTCCCGGACCCGGTGGCTTAAATTCACACTGGGCGCATGTGTGTGTGCATGCCCAAGATTCTAAGAGGAGAATGGAGGAGAAGGGATTGCAGCGTGGTCGCCCCCCCTGCCGTGATTTCTCGCTTTCTGTCTCTCTGTCTCTCTCTGTCTTTCTGGCGAGTACACATGCCCTATAGCAAAAACCTAACCCCCCCCCCCAAAAAAAAAAGAATACCTGGGGGCCAGCAGGTGGCATGGTGGTTAAGGTGCTAGACTCCCACATGGCTGACCACAGCTTGACTCCCGGACCTGGCGGCTTTACTATCTCACTTTCCCTCTTTCTCTCTCTCCATGTCTCTCTCTGGTCAAATTAAATAAATAAATAAAAGTTAAGAAATGCCAAAAAAGAACAAATGGCAGGCCAACAGATGGTGTGATGATTAAGGCTCTGGATCCCACATGGGCGATTTGCAGTTGGAGTCCTGAACCTGATGACTTGAAAATTACACCAGGGGCATGAACATGTGTGCCCAAAATCCTGCGAGGAGGATGAAGGAGAAGGAATTAAGGCATGGTCATCCCTCCTGGGAGGGGGCGATTTCTCACTTTCCCTCTGTCTCTCTGTGTCTTTCCTGTGAATGCATGTGTCCTACAGCAAAAAACTAAAAACAAACAAACAAACAAAATCATAATGGCTATTGAAGGTAGGATGGGATTTTTGTAAAACCATAACTAACGTTCCTTTGCAGATTTGTGATATACGTGTAAACCAACTTATCCTCTAGTAGTTTCTACCACAAGCTACTAACAGATCACATTCAGATGATTGCTGCTGCATAGACGATGACCCCAAAACTTAGTGACTTATAAGAACTGCCGGCCAGTTTTGGTTCAGCTCTCATGTAGTCATAGCCAGCGGTCATAAGGGGCTGGATCATCTGAAGGCTCGACTGAGCTGAATGTTCAAGATGGCGATTCACACTGGGGTGATGGGAGCTTAGCTGGGCTGTTGACCAGGCTGCCTCGACATGGGCTCTCTGGTATGGCAATCTTAGAGGAGTGTGCCTTGTTATATGTGGCCAGCTTCCCCCAGAGTGAGCCTCCCAAGAAGACCAGCCTCGGGAGCCACGTAGCTCCACTTCCAACGTAGATCGAGGAAGGGGACACTGACCCCACCTCTCTATGGAGGAATGCCAGAGAATTTGGGGGCTGGGGACGTTTTTGTTTTTGTTTTGTTTTTAAAGATTTTTTGCTATGGAGCACATGTACTTGCCGAAAAGACAGAATTCACCACCCCCAGAGGGCATGGCCATGCTGCAATCCCTTCCCCTCCATTCTCTTCCGTAAGTTTAGGCATGTCCACATACACCCAGCATGAGTTTCAGGAAGCCAAGTCTGGGACTCAAATTGCGATTGACCACGTGGGAGTCTACTGCCTTAACCACTCCACCACCCACTGGCCCCACGGCTATGTGTTTAAATTGCCACAAGCTACTTAATAGAATTCTAGTGCCTACTCAAGATTTGCAGATACACCCTGGAATGTCTGTATCTAGATTATTCATTCCTCATTTCTGTCATTTTTCTCTTAAACATCTAATTTTTAACCTCTGGGTCATTCACAGATGTTGATTCTCAGCCTTTTTATAATGAATACTCTAGAACCAGAACTCACATATCAGCCAAAACTTTGAAAGAGAGGACCATCCAGTGAAGGTACTTGAAAGTCATTGCAAGCAGTGCTCTGCTCTCTCGTAGTGTACAGTCCTTCCTAGTCCTGAAACCGTGGGGCTTTCTTTCTTTCTTTCCTTTTTTTTTTTTTTTTTTTTTTTGAGAGATTTTTGCTATAGGGCACATGCGCTCGCCAGAAAGGCAGAGAGACAGAAAGGGAGAAATCACCTCCTGGGGAGGTGGCCATGCCCCAATCCCTTCTCCTCTGGGGATCTTGGGCACACACACACACACATGCTCCTGGCATGAGTTTAAGACACAGGATCTGGGACTCGAACTATGGTTGACTACATGGGAGTTCAACAACATAGCCATTACGCCAACTGCTGGTCCCAACCACAGGACTTTCAATAGCTCTCCTTGCAGACTGCCTCAGATTTGCTCAGCCTTCCCTGAGGTCTGGGAAGTCAATCTTTATTCCCGGACCCTGCAACTTCTCCACGTAAATTTTATATATGATTCTTGAAAAAAAAAAAAAAAAAATACTCTTTCTATGAGGTTGTTTTTGCCCTGCTCATGCACTGCCCACCCTCAAGAGGTACCTGCCACATGCAGAGCTTCCCTGGCTCTAAGTATTCAAATGCCCCTTGACTGAACTTTCCTTTATGAGCAGCAGGAAGGGACCAGATCCAGTGAGTCCCAAATATGAAGACATAACCCACCTAAAACAAGCCCAAAAGCAACTACTCTAAGAAATTTTCTGAGATGAATCTGTATGGAAATAAGCCAAAATCCACAGCTGGGTAAGATCTGTTTCAGGTTTGGAAATAGTTTGCTTTCTAAGAGTTGACATGTCCACGGGACAAATATATTTGGTATCTCCCCATGCTACTGAGTGCACGCAATTTTGATGACTATGTGGGCCAAACAACCAGAGGGCCACTAGTCCTTCAAATGAAGCAAATAAACTGGATTTGGTACAGACAGACGTTCCTTCAATCTCACAAAGTAAGATTAGAAGAATAATGCCCAGATCTTATTCGTCTTTTAGAACACCATCTCCCTCCCACAGTTAAGAGCATCCTCCTGCATCCTGGCCTCCCTCCCATTTTCCAGCTTCTCTTCCATTTCAGATGGCTTTCCTGGAATGCACGGTCTCCATGTGCACCCTGAGCTCCGGCCTGGCAAGGCACGTTCCTTTTTGCAGGCTGTGTCTCTGTGAACATGATCCAGGCAGCCAGGAGGCAAGCCCTGGATCCTGGCCTTCCTTCCCTCCTCCTGATTTTTACAGGAAAAGCCTTATGGAGTTAGAGTCCTTCTCAGCTCACTTTTCAGATACCCTGAGCTCTGCAACTTTCATCCTGCAGCATTTCCTTGCAGCTCTTTTGCTCTGGGCCAAGTTTGAAAGTGCTCAAACTCCAGCAGCCTGAGCTTTGGACATGAAGTTGAGTCTTACTGGCTCTGAGAATTTCTTCTGGCCAGTCACAAATCCTCTGATTAAAAACAAAGGGGTTGAGAAGAGACACTATGGTTTTCTTGCACATCAACAAGCTCTTCAAAGCAACATTTCAAAAAGTGCTAATGACTCAGACCAGATGGGGTCCATTTCCTACAGAAGATGAGTGTCTGAAAAGCAGGAAGTAGAGCTCACTCAGACCAGTGTTTTGGGTTTTCCCAACTCTAGTCTCACTCCCAATACCACCACGCCGCATGCTGCCTCTCTCCTCTTCTGCCCCCTCAAACTGCCATTGTCCTCAACCTTTCAAAGAAATCAACTTAACCTGTGTGGAAAATAGTTTTGGACTTCAAACCTGGGGTGGGATTCTTAGATTGCTTTCAGGGCCAAAGTGTTTTTGTTCAAAGTATTATACTGAGTTTCTTTTATCTGTGGAAAAATATAACATGAAACATACCACTTTAACCATTTTAAGTGCACAGTTTCATGGTGTTAAGTACATTTACATTATTATGAAACTATCACCACCATCCATCTGCAGAACATTATCATCTTATTATAACAAAACTCTGTACCCATTAAATAGTAATCCCCTTTTCGGGGACCAGCAGTTAGCGTAATGGCTATGTCTCTGGACTCCCACATAGTCGACCGCGGTTCGTGTCCCGGACCCGGTGGCTTAAAACTCACGCTGGATGCGTGTGCGTGCGTGCCCAAGATCCAGAGAGGAGAATGGAGGAGAAGGGATTGTGGTGTGGCCATCCCCCCTGGGGGGTGATTTCTCGCTTTCTGTCTCTCTGTCCCTCTCTGTCTGTCTGGTGAGTGCACGCACCCTATCGCAAAAAAACCTCTCCAAAAAAAAAAAAAAGGAATCCCCTTTTCCCTGCTCCCACCAACCACTGGCCATCACTGTTCTGTCAATGCTTTCTGTCTTCTATGATTTGACAGTATTTTTTCTTCTGTGGCTGGCTTTTTTCACTTAGCATAATGTCTTGAAGTTTTGTCCATGTTGTAGTACGCTACAGAATTTTCTTCATTTTAAATGCTGGTAATATTCCACTGTGCATATGTACAACATTGTGTTTTTTCTATTCATCCATGGAGAGGTTCTTGGTAGGCTTCCACCCTTTGACTATTGTGAACATGTTGCTATGAACATAGATGCACGAGTATTTCTTCAAGATCTTGATTTGAATTCTTTTGAATATAAACCCAGAAGTGAAATTGCCAGATCACATAATCATTCTATTTATAATAT